TTTTTAATCAACATGTAATATGGACTGCTCTTCCCTGCATACCATCTGCAACATGTTGACGGTGAATCTCTTTGCCTTCTAGTGGACTTACAGCAGCTTCTTAAACGATGACAACGATTGACAGCGATCTGAGGAGCACGTATCACAGCTGGCAACTGGCAGGTTCTTCACATTCACGATGGCTACGACAGCGCGATGACTTAGGCAACTCTTCTGCATAACATCCTTTATTGAGGGCGACGGAACAGCGACAGTGGAATCAGGAGCAGCAACCCAATCAAATTCATACTCTCTTAGCTTTCGTAGTGCGCAGTTCCTCACGATGTATAATGTAGGGTCAGATTCAGGTTCGTTATGACAATAATTTACAATACAACAGCAAACAGCAGCAGCTACAAAGTGTACGTTTAAAGTGCTTCCCTTAACGATCAATGATAAAAACAATACCAAATACCAAAACAGTTTTCCAGCCACTCACAGCTCTGACCATAACTCTCTTCCAATATTGTTATTATTTACATGGAACTTGCAGAGAAAACATCGACAACAGCAGCAGGTGCAGCATCGGCATCATCGGGTGCCGCTGCCAACAGCAAGTCGGGATCAGCCGGAGGTGCAGGCGCAGCTGGTGCTTCGTCCAGTGCTGCTGGCAAGCAGGCTTTGCTGTCACGCAATCTCTGGGTATCCGGCTTGTCTACTTTAACACGCGCCAGCGACTTGAAGGCCATTTTCTCCAAGTTCGGCAAGGTGATTGGAGCAAAGGTGGTCACCAACACTCGCACTCCTGGCACACGCTGTTACGGCTACGTAACCATGTCTTCGTCCGGAGATGCCTCGCGCTGCATTGATAATCTGCATCGTACGGAGCTGCACGGTCGAATTATATCAGTGGAGCGCACCAAGAATGAAATCGGGGGCAGCGCAAGCTCATCCAAAGACGTTGGCAACAAGGGTAATAACAAGACGAACAGCAAGTCCAGCAATGACTCGAAGAAGAAGGATGATGATAAGAAGTCAGGCGCCAAGGGCAACGGGGGCGATGATAAGAAGGGTGGCGACTCCAATGGGGATGGCAAGAGCGTAGGTGGGGAATCTAGCAACAAGCGCGACGGCAAAGACAAGGACCGCAACGGCAAGCCATCGCGTGATGACAAGGATAAGTCGACAACGGGCAGTGATAAGCGCCACGAGCGTGATCACCGCTCTGGAACGGGTCACAAGTCTCAGCACCGCGATGAGTCGCACGAGCGTCGTTCGGCACGCCAACCTCGAGATGACCGTGAGATCCAGCAACGTCAGCGTGAGCGTGAGCGTGAGCGACGCCAACGCGAAATGCTGTCCTATCAGAAGATTCGTGAGGAGCGGGAACGCCAGCGCCTGCGTGAACGCGAGCGTGAGCTACGCGAGGAGGAGCGACGCCGTCGCGAAGCACGTGAACGCCAGCGCATTGAAGAGGAGCGCCTGGCAGAAGAGAGACGCAAGCTGGCTATCGAGCGGGAGCGCCTTGAGCGCGAGAAGGCTGAACTGCTGCGTATGGAGCGGGAGCGTCAGAAGCTGGAGCGTGAGAAAATCGAGCTGGAGCGCCTTGAATTGAAGCGTCAACAGATGAAGTATGATAAACGTAACAGCGTTGCACACACAATGCTATCTAAAAAAAAAAAAAAAAAAAACAACAAACACAATATTTATTTTT